TATTCAACATTTATAAGTGATTACTTAGACACTGAAATGTTTGAAACTAAATCTTCAAAATGGTCTTTCTTAAAGTTATGTAGCCCACAATTACATATTGTACAAATATGTCCTAATGTTATATCGATAGATAGATGATCTTCGAGAAAAAAATACAGAGGAAATTTAAATAAAACTTGGCATAGAGATATGGTATCGTTTGGAATAACACATATCTGAGCTCTATATTATTTACCCTAATAATGCAGGCAAAGCCGCTGGCAGAAGCTAGTAGGTACACATATTAGGTACTTAAATAAAAACGATAGATACAAATTAAATGCACGCCCGCCGATCATAAATAAGAGTCCCATTGTGACCCATTGTAAAATTGTGTAGTAGAAATTTTCTCAGTTGATTCATGTGAGTATGTTGTTATTTTCAAATATATAGTATTTCTCACTAAAATTAAGCTACAAAAAAAGACACAAATCTTATTTGAACAATAAAATGTCCTCACAAACAGCAAAATCTGCCTATTTCAACGATATTTGAGATGCTGTGATGAGATGGCGGAAACACATACATATATTAAGTATATTATTTGTTCTGATTTAAAGTAAACAAGTTGTTTTACGTGCCTCGTTCTTAGTTAATAGGCGATGGACAAAGGCTTTCAAGCTATATGTTTGATGAACAATACAAATAGTGGATAAAGAATGCTGCTTCCAGGTATAATATATTTAATTAAGAACTCGATAACCTTGGAAGTTTTGCAGTGAATACCCGCAAATTTATCGCAAATATTCTTTTACTCAAGTTACCCTTGATCTGTATTTGGAATCCATTACCAAAATTATTATACACCTAGTAAATAAATATTATACTATATTTATACTCAAGGTTCACTTGATGAATTAAAAAATAAATAGTCATACGTTTCACCACAATCTGTTTAAGTTATCTGGATGAGATTATGTAATTTAAAATAGTGACTAATTTGACTAATGTTAAAACTTTGCACGCTTGCTTGCAAGCAGAATACAACGACGTTTAGGCTGTAAGTTCTTTCTTTGTAAAATATGTATTTATTGTATAAATAAATAAATGAAATGAAAAATGTACACTTTGAATCTAGTAAAGGGGTCGTCCAAATAAACGGACTTTCGCTAGCATTTGCTTTGTTTCAATTTATTACATTCTTAAAGTTTCGTACGCAAAGAGTAAACACGGGAACTGCTACTAAGATTATGCAGTCTATCATAAACTGAAATTTGAAAAACGATATAGGTAATTCCGTTACCGCAATTTAAAATACTAAAAAAGTTAGGGAGCTTTTCTATACTACATAATTTGATTTTGGTAAAAAAAAGTTTCTATGAGCCATGATTATTTATGACATTGCAATACAGATTAGCATTATGTTGGAATTAAGTTTAGTAAACTTACATGTGCCTCCGTTACGGAATTTACTGTTAACCTAAAATTTCCCACATTTTTTTATTATGAAAACTTGAAACTAATTTCCTTACACATTCAGCCATTTGTTATGAGTATCATAAGCCTACTTTGTTATGTAGATTTTAGTGTAGTTTACAGACATGCTTCCTCAAACTTTTCTCATATCATTTTACATTCTTTTCCATCACTTTAGAGTTCATTTTCGTTAGGCAAAGAAGCTCGATTTTAGCAAAAACAGTTATTTAAGTGAAAAAAGAAATCCGTTGTGTAAGTAAACAAATCGTTTTGATCTTGTTAACTTCGGTTAGTGGTGCTAGTGACCTAGATATTTTGGTTTAAAACTCATTACGCAACTCCGCGCAGTCGGTACGGTGGCGTTTAGAAAAACTTGTGACCCGCTAGCCCGGTATACATTGAGTTGTTTTGTTGTTATTTTCTTTTTTATCTTTTTCATAAGAAATTTAAAGACATCGTCTTAGTAATCTTATGAAATTTTTATAATAACCAACGTTATACCTAGTTTGATTACAACACATTTATTTATGTTTAATGAACAAAATCGTGCATATTTCTTCTTTATTTGCATTTCAGTCATAAAGATATGAAACAATCAAAGGAAAGGAACAAGTTCAGTTCCATTTTCAGTTCCAGTAGATAATGTATTTCAATCTTAAAACACAGTTTCAAAATCAAAGACAAGTTATTAAAAAACGTAAATAAAATTATAACGAGAACAGTAATCCGTATTACTTAGTTACGTTATTAGAATATGATGGCGTTTAAACTTACATAAGTTACTTACTTGGCATTCAAACTCGATTTCGTTAGTGTTATTAACTCTACGTGTGGCTATTTAAGTTAAGACTAAAGCTTAACCCGAGGTTAATTAAAACATTACGAAACAGTTTAAAATAATATAAATAATTTTCTTTTCCTTTTTCGTTGATCTAGAGTTACAACAGTAAAGTTTTTTATGCATATTAATAATTTCACTCATTTTGTCCTATTTTCATTGATGGATAAGTTTAGCATAACTTTAATTATGGTTTAGTTGGAAAGTGATTTTGACTTTAACTTGATAATGAAAGAGATGATTTGGTTTATTAAAATGAAATTAAAATATTCAAGGTACCTATGAACGGTAGATATTCATTTTTATTTTTTTTTAAATGTTTATTTTATATTAGTTTCAATTTAATTTAAGTTATTTTAATATTTGTTTTTCAAGTAATGTATTTTTAGATGTCAAAATGGAATTTTTAATTATGTACCAAATTGTGTGCTATGTCAAACTCAATTCACTTCATCGTAAGTTTTTATTAAAACAGTAGATCATCAGAATAAATTTTGTGTTGTAATAACAAAACCAATATATTTGAAGGCACCGGGGGGTTGGTACAAACATCAACATCCCGATCATCGTCTTCACAGTCCATCGCAGGGCGTAGGATTTTATAATCAGGCCGAATAAATTACAAAAATAACGGACGTCGGCGATCCGTCTCCAATGACAGTCACAGCGCTTGCTCTCCAACATAATGCGCACGCAGAACTGCCAGTTTGACGTTCCGCCAGAGTACGATTTATGGTACCCTCGTCCGATGAATTGTGATAAAACCTCCTTCAAAATTCAATTTAAATAATCGTCGCTCCGACACGGCCAGACTGACATTCGCTCGTCCTCGAGCGATCCAGGTTCTGTGTTAGTTCTGGAACAGAAGAAAGATTCCACGTGTATAGCGCGCTGCTCGTTCATCCTGACTAACATGCGCTTTCTCAACATATCGTCTGGTTACTGTACTCAACATCGATGTAACATTATTATCATTTTCAGTTGTACCTACTTCCAAAACAACTTATCCCAAACCACTCTGATACGGCCTCAGCGATTGGTGTGCATGGACCGGATGTATGCGCCTCTACCACCAGCCAACATGCTCCGGCAAGACCACATCATCCCTTCGACCAGCTCACCAGATCACCTGCCTGGGTCAGACTAGTGCGTCCCTCCGACTAGACACCACGTGACATAGACCGGACGTCACTATCCTTCCCAACAATCAGCTACGCCAACTCAATTATATTCACAGACATTCACGTTACCCATATGAAACTAGGTACAACCATCAAATCACTAATCTCTAATTAATTTGAGAACTATCTTACTCGTTATAACTACAGTCGTTGGTTCAATCATATGAACACGCAGATAAGGAGCATGATAACCCGTTATAACAAAGAAAAGGAACTTCCTCACCCGTAGATGGCTCCATCACGCCTTAAGAAGCTCTACGGCCGCTTAAAATGACAGCTGATCTTCTTCTCCAAACAAGCAGTAGAAACGTGGCATGAAAAACAGATGACTGCGTGCCCCCTCTTTATCCGCGTCAATTTACAGGTCGTACTTTCGGATTATCAGATGGTTTCCCATCAAATCCCACTTCTGATGAAGGCACCGGGGGGTTGGTACAAACATCAACATCCCGATCATCGTCTTCACAGTCCATCGCAGGGCGTAGGATTTTATAATCAGGCCGAATAAATTACAAAAATAACGGACGTCGGCGATCCGTCTCCAATGACAGTCACAGCGCTTGCTCTCCAACATAATGCGCACGCAGAACTGCCAGTTTGACGTTCCGCCAGAGTACGATTTATGGTACCCTCGTCCGATGAATTGTGATAAAACCTCCTTCAAAATTCAATTTAAATAATCGTCGCTCCGACATATTCAACAATTTAGTTATTTACGATCTAAAGGTAAGTTATTTGTTTTACGAACTAATTTTATGAAAAAGTGTTAATTACTTGTAAGTTTCATAACAAGTAAGTAAATTATAATGATTGCCAATAGTGTTTATATGGTTTTAAATGAAAAAGGTTTATGTAAACAAATGCACATTTCTACACGTTATATTATATCTATGCATTTTTGTAGAACTTATCGTACAATGAATGTTTGAGACTTTTTTCAAAATAAGACAGTTTTTGAGAGACGGCCAAATTTTAACCTTATTAAGACGGTGGAAGTTATCTATTTGAATATCAACAGTTGATGACAGTCCAGTAGCTAACACGTATTTTGAAATACATTCAAAAAATTATGCATAGTTATAGAATATAGGAATTCTTTTTTTAAATTTTAATGCTCTTTAGTTTCTTTTTTCAAAATCTCTATTTTAGTATTAAAAAAGCATTAAGTAGGCATTTCAAATATTTTTAATAAGATTGGAAAGCGGACCTCGTTAGTATGTCACCGAATTAAACATCCTATTATAAAAGTAATGGTTTCAAGTTTATGTAATGACACAGTGCACGGTTATATTTGCACAATGTTCGGTAAAAGTGATATCTTGTGCAACACTGGATGGATCCACGGACGACATTATATCATCACTAGTGAACACATATATTTAATTACTCTTCATTTATATTCACTTACAACATACTCTAAGTTATTCATAAGAGGCTGAACCGAAAAATTTCGAAATTCCATAAATCACGGCTTAACCGTGTTGTTTTGATCCGTTGGTATTATAATGCTAAAGGTTAGTACTCACTCTTGAGCGCCCACAGCTTCCTCTCCATCAGTCCCTCCACGTACTCCTGCATCTCCAGGCGACAGTCCCCGCTGACAGTCTGCTGCAGCTCAGTCCATTGCTTCACCAAGATATCCGCATCAAAGAGCCGCAGCATGTTCTCTATCCCCATCAGCTCCGTGCTGTTCGTGCTTTCTCTCCTCAGCACATTCCTGGACTCGTTCACCGTGTTCCTGATGGAGTCACTCAGCTTACTCAGCACGTCCTTGTTTGGTTTCGATGTCGTTTTCTCCGCCGGTTTGCTGGTAGTCTTCACAATGTGCTGCACATTGTGCGACTTCTCAGTCGTTGATTGTTTCGCTTCAGTCTTAATGTCACTGAAGTCTGCGAACGACAGACCGTCGTCGTCCGCGAATAGATCGAAAGCATCCTCTGTAGTGGATTTTTCGTTTCGGTTCGAGGTCGGAGGAGCAGGCTTGGCAAGGGAGCCGATCAGGTCTGAAGCTAGGTCTTCATCCACGCCACCCTTGGCCGAACCTTTTTTGATGCTCTGAAAAGCGTCAATTAAAGCACTCCTTAGTTTTTCTTCGCGCGCACTCTCTCTGCTGTCACCCTGTAGTTCACCACCAGCATTTACTAAAACTAATGCACTTAACAATACTATCACTAGAGGAGACATTTTGGAAAAAATATTTTTTAATTTATTTTTTTAAAGTTTCACTCGCACATGCTTGTTAGTACGATCACTTATACTTTGTAGTCGAGATGATATTTCGGTAGTTAAAGGTGCGCGCGCGGCGTCATAGTCGGGGCACGACTGCGCGGCTGCGAGGCTGTGACATAACGCCGTTACGAAGTTACAGCGGCACTTTCACTGTCGGCGGCGCGCGCGCAGGTGATCGCCGCATCCTTGTAGGGCGGCCGATGCGTGCCGCTGAGCCACTTGTACGTTGACTAACATATTAGTTAACTTATTATAATTATAATATCAATCGATAACTATGTCTCCGACAGTCAGAACTATATAACTATCTTCTACGATATAGTTCCAAGCCACATACAAAACCGCTACTTTAAGCTTACAAACACTGATTCGAAGTGCATTTAATGTCAATAAAATGTCTTAGATAAACTGTGTGTTAAGTTGTAATTGTCTATTGATTGTGACAATTACAATGGAGGTAAAATTCAGTTTATAAGTTAACAATCTTGTACATACTATGTATTGATATAAAAGATCGGTGTTCTCATTTCGATATTTTAGTCAAGTAGCATTATCTGACACGTTGTTACTTTTCCTACATAATTTTACGACTTTTTTTAATGGGAAGGCAACCCGAGAAGCTCATTGTTAATTTTGTAAGCTTATTGTCTCATCTCATCGCTCTCGAATTCCCTCATCGGGATAGGAAAAATGTTGTTAAATTTGTTAACATAATTTTGTACTATCAAAATCCCGATGAATCGAGTCCGATATTTCATGCTCGATTGCCGTTCTTGCGTCCGCTCAATTAACTCGGAATCCAACGCACTTTGAACTTTAAGAAAAGGTAACTTGTAAGTTGTATCTTACTAAACACATGTTTACAAACACTCACATATTTCATAATTACAGTGAAGATACTGCCTACTGGTGATTGCTGAGATGTTTGTGCTAGAGAACAGCTGAGTATTGATGTCAGGTCGCGTCAGCTGATGTAATACTAATCTGTTGTCTAATTGCGTGACCACATCGACTCCAATATAGTTAATGTTTATCTACCATTCACTATAATATTCCTTTTTTCGAGGAGTTGAAATCATTTAATGACTTGTCTCGCGCTGGGTGGGTGAGAGGAAGTGTCAGACTCTTATTGACTAAAAATTAACCGGTTCCATCTCCCTAGAATTTAGACTCCATGCAATAATACAGTGTACACTCTCGTCTATAACTGTTTTGGATTTTGAAAACAGCAGTAGAATGTCAAAACCTCTTTCTTTTTATCGGTTTCAAAGCGGGAGGCAATTATTGTAAAAAAAAATTGTTCGAAAATTCGTCTTCGTGTTCGAAAAACAAAAGAATCTGTTTAAATTTGGAACTTCCTCTAGCCCGGGGCCGCGGTACATTATTGTCTTGAAAATCAAACTGGTTATTACCAGTTACCTACCTAAATTTATTTTATCTCTGTGAAAAGTAAATTTTGGAGAGCATAAGATGCTCTATTGTTTTGTAATACGGGATATTCGGAATCAATAACATAACAAGACATCCTTTTTTGGTAACTTATTCGGCAGTAACTAAACTCAAGACATATTCTAGAATTCGACTAAAGTAAATTTCGAAAAACCACTATCTTTAGTTTAGACGTACTCGATTAATACGTAACGTGCAATACTCAAAACGCAAAATCGACTATTAGTCATCTCTTGCAAAATTTACAATCAGCTGTGCACAAATAAGATGCAATAGTATACGTCACTATGTGCAGAAACCGCACAGTCATCATGACTCACATTCCACACAAACAATTGCAAAAGAAAATAATATAAAAAAGTGTTTAAATATTTCTAAGTTAACTGTAATCTTTACCAACATGTAAGAAATTTTCTTGTGCCCATATTTCTGGAACCACTGTTTCATCTTGAACAATTTTTTTTGCGTTGAAAAATTCTTACGTTCATCCAGGAAGGCCTGTTTAGGGTTGTAGTAAAGTAGTTTATTGACTGCACGATTGGCGCGGTGGTTGGGCAACTGGATGCCGCGCAACGTGTCGCGGGTTCGATTCCCGCACGAAACAACTCTTTGTGTGATTCACATATTGTTGTTCCGGGTCTGGGTGTGATGTGTATGTGAAATAGTGTTTGTAAACGCACCCACGACACAGAAAAAAATCCTAGTGTGGCTCAACGTTTTTTTATAAAATAAAAAATAATTAAATAAGTATATTTTATTTTTACCAAATAAATGTTATGAATGTTTATCTCGGGAAAATGAATTTGCCCCTTAAATAAAAACGCGGTCAAGAGCTCCAGCACCAGTTGAAAATTTGCGAATGTTTTTTTACAAGGTAAATATTAACCGTAACTACAATTACTTAGCTGCCCACATATTTAATTTTAAATCTAGGTCGTTTGTGGATGGAGACGTTTTTTGCTCACTTTTGCTAGTCAATTGCGAAATAACTAGTCTTGTTACGGTTACTTCAAAGTTGCTCTTAGCAGCTTTATTGCTCTGCCAGTCAGTGTTGTCCCAAATATAATCTGGTTGTTCCAAATTCAAGACAAAGGCTTTGTTTTTTGTCAGGGGAAAATCATCAAATGACTTCTCCCGCCCAGGGTAAGGCGAGAGAGAGCGCCGGACTCTTACTGACTAAAACTTCCCCGTTCCTTCTCCTGCTATAGGCTGAGGCCTTGGTGCCTTATTTTTTTATGTAATGGGTCGGCAAACGAGCAGACTGCTTACCTGATGGTAAGTAATCAGCGCCACCCATGTACACCCGCAACGGAGGAGTGCGAGTGCGTTGCCGACCCTTGAGGAATTTGGTTTTAGGTGATTAAGGGATTGGGAAGGGATCGGGGGAGGGGAAAGATTGGGCCTCCGGTAACCTCACTCACCCGGCAAAACACAACGCTGTGGTTGTTTCACGCCGGTTTTCTGAGAGGCCGTGGTATCACTCCGGTCGAACCGACCCATTCATCAGCCCTAATTGTTCCAAATTTAAAAAGCTTCTTTAAGCGAGTTCCCTTGAGCACATGCCTGTCGCTTCGATACTTTCTATTTTCACAAATGTAGGTATATTATAGAATTTTTGCCTTGTTTAAAAAGCAAGAGGTTTTAAAATTCTCCTTCTGTGTGGTGTCTAAAGGTGCCGAAAGAGTATTTGACGCAGTCCTTAATATTTATTTAGCAATAAATTTTTCGTTATTAAGGATGTATCGTTCAAGTTATCATTAAATGCCCATAAGTGTGGGAGAGCTATGCTTTGGCGCAAATGGGTCGGCTCGACCGGAGTGATACCACGGACTCACAGAAAACCGGCGTGAAACAACAACAGCGTTGTGTTTTGCCGTGTGAGTGAGGTTACCGGAGGCCCAATCCTTTCCCTCCTCCAATCACTCCTCAATCCCTAAATCTCCTAATGCATAATCCCGAATCCCTAAAAGGTCGGCAACGCACTCGTAACTCCTCCGTTGCGGGTGTCCATGGGCGGCGCTGATTGCTTGCATTCAGGTAATCCGTCTGCTCGTTTGCTGACCTATTACATAAAAAAAAGTAGGCAGTAAGGCCCTTTTTCAGCTTCTCACACTCCTATTTTTATGTTATTCGACAAACAATCACAGAAATTACCTGATAGTAAGCTATCGATGACGCCCATGAACACTTGCATTTCCAGAAAAGTTGCAAATAAATTTTCGAGGTTTACAACAAGGGTTTTGCGGATTTAGCAATTGAAGAGGGAGGGGAAGAAAATAATAGTTTGACTATACGGTTGGCACGGTGCGTGGCTGGGCTACTGGCTGCCGCGCAGCGTGTTAACGTCTTGCGGAACAACTCTTTGTGTGACCTAGAAATAGTTGATCTGGGTCTGGGTGTAATGTGTATGTGGAATTGTATGTTTGCAAACGCACCCTAGTGTTGGTCAACGTTTTTCTTTAAAGAAAAAAAAATCAATATCAGTGACGACTTATTAAACGTAATAATGTATTAGTATATTATTTGTTAGCTATAAATAATGTATTGTAAATTATATGAGTAATACCCTTGCAACATGCAGTGGCAATTTTAAAGATTACAACAATTCCTTGTTGAATACATTGAAGTATAACTTTGTCAGTGTGTATGACATATGGCATGTAGAAAGTGGAACTTTGTTAGAGGTATGCGCGAGCGCAGGTCACAGCTGTCACAGCTTCAGATGGACAAATGTTTTATTCATTTTTGTAAGTGTTTTGTATATTGTAGGTTCCTACTTATTGGTAATGAGATGTTTTTATGTGGTAGGTACATATATACATAAATACGTTACATAGTCTTTGTATTTGGTGTTTAGAGTGATTTATTCTTTTGTAAATGATGATTTTGCAAACTTATGTTGTAAGTACATGGGCTTCTCTTTATTACACTCATTTGACTTCGGTTTAGAACTTTTTTTTGAGATTTTGATATAAATGACTTTGATATTACATAGTTTCGCTATCTGACCTAGAAGTCGTATACAGGAGTAAGGAACTTAAACTTAGCTCATCTTCTAACAGTTATATAAATCCCGAGGGTACGGCGCGTAGCGTTCCGCGCGCGCCTCAAAGAACCAATAGACCACCACAGATGGGGCTCTATAGGGCTGATGTTCGGCCGGGGCTGAGGGTTAGCGCAATGAGTCACCGCGGCCTCGGCCTAGAGCAAGACAAGGAAGGGGGGTGTTTTTAGCAAGAGTGACAATCCCTCCCGCCCCGGGAGAAGTCATTTGATGATTTTCCCTCTCACAAAAAAACAGTTATATAAATGTTTAAAATCCATTTCAAACTCAATATGGTCCTTTACATCAATAAATTAAATCATCATAATTAAGATTATGGTAATTTAGTCTTTAAAGTGTGACCCAGAGAAGATTTCGTGTCACCGGTTACATAATAAGAGTTTTAAACAATTTTGCGAAATAAAGTTCCCGGTATGAGTGTGTAAATATTTTGAGTGCGAGTTGTACGACTAGTTTCGTGCCATGACCTCACCTGCGGCCTTTCTGTTGGGTAATTCATTTGCAATGTTTATAGCCGGCGACCCAATCTTATCGTGAACTTACTACCATATCCGTATTCCACTTTTATGGCGAATAACATTTATATTTTCTTTAATT